TCCCAGACCCCCGGAAGGATCTAAAAAGTAGATCCCCTAATTTGGGACCCTAACTACTAAAGGGTACTTTATAGGAACTCCCTTAAGGGATCTACTTTTTGGATTCTCCCGGGGGTCTGGGTTGCGAATGTTACAAGGTCTTTCATGACCTTCTGAACCTTTTCTGAACTCTTTTTGGACCGTAATAGAGCCCCAATAGAACCCTCATAGTAGCCCTTTATAGAACCTCAGCCACAACCCTTGCGGAGCCCTTATCGAAGCTGAAAAAGAACCCTGATAGAACCCGTACAGTTTAGGGTTTATGGTGTAGGGAACCCACAAGAATCGCAACAAGAGCAATCCAGCTAAAAGCATGCTGAACCCCCTCCAAGCCTAAACCCTGACCCTGCACCCTGAACCCTAAACCCCTAGACCTAAACCCTAACCCTGCACCTCGAACCCTGAAATTCAAGCCAAAGATCTTAACCCGGAACCTTCAAAAAAAAGCGCGCTTAACCCTAAACTACTTCTCCGTGGTATATGTATTGTTCTAGATACATATATATATATATATACATATGCATGTGTGTGTGTATATATATATGTATATATGTAAATATACATATATATATATATATATATCGACCAATCTACATACATGCACATATACATAATTACATTATATACATATATAAATACATGTGTATGTATATATATATATACACCGATAGAGAGATAGATAGGTAGATAGAAAGAAAGAAAGATAGCTAGATAGTTAGGTAGATAGATAGATAGATAGATAGAGAGATAGATAGACAAATAGATAGATAGATCGATCGATAGATAGATACAGAGACGGAGAGATAGGTAGGTAGATAGATAGGTAGATAGATAGATAGATAGACAGATGGATGGATGGATAGATAGATAGATAGGCAGATAGATAGATAGATAGATAGATAGATAGACAGATAGATGGATAGAGCGATGGACAGATAGATAGATGGATAGATACATAGGAAGATAGATGGATGGATAGATAGAAAAGTGGATAGATGGATAGATAGATAGATAGATAGATAGATAGACAGATAGATAGACAGATGGATAGACAGATGGATCGATAGATCGATAAGTAGATAAAAAGGCACGACAAGGGGATACGATTCTCAATTGTTCAGACCCTGTTGTCGGCTGGCCTCTTCAAGCTTCTTTGTGACATCCTCGAGCTCGCCCTGTGCGCTTTCGGGCACAATGAGAATTCGGGCTTGGGGTTTAGGCCTGGGTTGAATACCAGGTGTCTGGGTTCAGCGTTGAATATCTAGGGCTTTACTGTGACTGTTAAGGATGAATGCTTGGCGTTTAAAGTCTCGATTTGGGCGTAGTGTTAAGGCAGGGGCTTTGAGGACTAGCGCGCTCTGACAACACTTCGACCGGTCGAAATAGCAGCGCACCTTCTGTTCTTGTCACGATACTATGAATGCTCCTCCCGAAACCATCACCAGCACCAGCTGAGGCCTGGCCTAGTCCGTCCGTACATCATGAACCGTCGCTCTCCGTTAACGTCGTCGCTCTCCGTTAACGTAGTCACTCAACATCGACATCTTGCCCCTTAAGGGGGCCTAAACCATCACACCATCCAGATTGAAGGGGCGTCGGCTGTGCCAACACATTGAACTCGTGTGGGTGCGTCCCGAAATTGAAAGCTGGTGCTAGGCTTTATGGGTTTCCAGAGGTGACTGAGGGGGTGAAAACAGCCCAGCACTATTCTTAGCATATATGGGGGTTTCCGAAAACAGGGGACCCTGATATAGTAGCCTAAATAGTAAGATCCCGATTATAAGGACTCCAAAATACAGTAGCCCTTATTTTCGGAAACTCCCATATAAGAAAAACACCCAAACCACAAACCGAAGGCCAGGCCCAAACCTGATCACGATCACCATGATTGCAAACACGGTTCCTGGCTCAGGACCTCATAAGCCCTAGGCCCTAGACCCGAAATCTTCATCTGGAACTCGAAACTTAATGTTAGGATGCTCACTAACCTAAACCTGAAATCCCAAACCAACCCTGCACCCTAAACCTTGAATCCTAAACCCTGAAACCCTAAACCCTAAACCTGAAATCCCAAACCTTCAACCAGCGTGTGGGCCTGGCTTTTGGCCCCCATGGTGGACTTCACCATGTGCCCTTCCAGGCCCTGCGAGATACAAAACAAAATGGTGGCCACGACAAAACAAAATAGGATTGTCATGGTCTTTTATTTCTGGGGTGATATAGGGTGTTGGAGGGCTTTTTGAGCATGCGGTGGAGAGTGGGGGGCCTTACCAGAACTTGCTGGCATGCATTGTAATATCTTTCGGGCAATATCGTTTTTTATTCCTAGCCTAAGACCCGAAAACCCTACAAGCCTTATAAAATTCATGCGAAACATTTCCAACGGCATAGATTCCTAGCAGAACCACCACGCCGAGCACGACCACCACGACGACCGCCGTAACCAGGAACACCACGCACTCGTGGAAACCACGAGGAGACCAAGGTGCGTCTTCTGGGTTTCCAGCGCTTCACCGCAGCATCCCAAAGCCGCTCCCCCACCCATGTACAGGCGGCACCCATGCTCTTCACTGCAATCCTGTTAAAATGGATACCCCGGCTTGTTTCTTGTAGGATATCATGGAATGGAAGGTAAGTAGCTTCATAGCTTCCATGCTTCAAACGCACTAGGCTTCGTACTAGTGGAACTTGAGTCCGTGATCAAAACACCTGCTCGGCTACCAATGTAGACTGATTCGCAGCTACCATTGTGGATTGATGCGCAGATACCTTTACAGCATTTTGTAAACTCACCTCTGCTCACAATGCCCGCGAGGAGCAATTGCAGCAAAGGCCGTGTTTCCCACACTCACCTCAGGTCACACGTACATGTAGAAAGGAGGCGCTCTATCTTGGTTTGTCTAAGAGTCTGGTCTGTCCGACAAGGGTCGTGAAGAATAAAACCGTGCGGAACGGGTGTCAAATGCCAAGCCAGAGCTGATCAATTTCTCAACAGTCATCACAACAGTCAATCGGTTTGTTGCGGTGACGCTACTTTGGTACGCCTTGGTGCGATTTTGCGCAGCCCCCTCTCGGCGGCATAAGACCCAACAAACAGATGCGCTGCCGGCGAGATTGACGGTAGCAACCCTTTTTTGCCGTCCCAAAAACAGTCGGTTTAGTATGCAAGCACAGCAGCTGTCGAAATAATGCGCAACACAACAACGGTAGTATGAAAAAACATGTCAAAACAAAGCTGTGCAACTAACAAAAAACATCACCAGCACTACGGAAAAACATAGCCCGAAACCTAGGCCCAAATCCCTCGACCCAAGACAACCCGGCTAAACCCCAAATCCTTGAACCCTCAACCGCTAACCCTATAAAACCTCAAACCCCTGGACAGCCTAAACCCCTGAACCTCGAAACCTAACCGCAAACCCCTAACCCTACTACACCCCGGACCCTGAAATGCCTAACCCTATTCCGTCGGGTTAATTTCGAGGATGTGAACATACATCAACAGTCAAGACTCGATGGAATCACAGCTGCGAATGATGAACGCCCCGAGGCACGGTCATGACTATTACGGACCCAAAGTTGCGCCCAACCCCTTCGATTCGCTTTTCTTCCACAGCTATCACTCACGGCAGCGGCGAGTACAGCAGGCTGGACAAGCTCCTGCAAGGTGCTGGACAAAAACAAGCAGCACACTGCATAAAGCTAAAGGAATAGAAGAGCACAATTACAGCTCCGACTGCTCCTCATCGCGACTCCACGCCGCTTTGACAAGATCTTCTCTAGTTGTGGCCGTGTCATGCCGCGCCGGGCGCTGGGGCGGTTGTGCTTTAGGTGCTCTTTTGCGACCTGTTTGATGTAGGATGCCGTGTCGAAGGCCACTGACGACTTCCTGCATATGGAGGATTGCAACATCGTTATCGTCACACAAGTCCAAAGACGGGTTCAATCGAACCAGCGTCCTGCTGAAGCGTACGGGTTGCGAGGAGTGCAAGTGCGGCATCAGCAGGCACGCCGCACGAGCACCAAGGACGTGGCGTCCTGGCGGCAGCCAGATATTGCCGAGCTTATTGTTCCGGCTCAGCAAGTGTTCGTCCTAAGCTTGGCAAGTTTCCACAGCACACCAGAGCCAACCATGCACATGTTACAACATACGATGCCGGACAATTGTGGCCAGGAGGCGACAGCCTCCAAGACCCTTTCACGAGACGCGCTGCCCAGCGGCATCACAAAGTGTGGTTTGAGGCTTGCCGCGATGCGAACACCTTTCCTGCGCAGAACACTTGCATGTGTGGATGATTACGACGTGTATATATATATATACACACACATTTATTATATACATATGTCTGTATATGTACATATTGTATGCTAGTGTATATATATATATAGATACATATACATGCATACTTATCCTGGCTGGGTTCCCACATAGCGACTGGCTAAAATCACATCGCATTCTCCTTGAGAGACCATGCTGCTCAAGGATCTTGGCAGCGAGGTGCAGGAAGTCGTCGAGGGCCCACTTGTTGGGGACATCCATAACCTGGGTATGCAAGAACAAGTCTGTACACAGATGCTAGACCTCGAGACAGCTACACATGCTGCGAATACGACACGGACGGTGTAAGCAATGCAGCGGGAATACATGATGTGCCACAGAAATGACGTGAAGCAGCCCAAGCATCCCTTCGCCGATGTCGCCTGACGCAAACAGATTACATGTCCCCATCCATCCTTGCTATACCCGTCGCTGTCTGTGTTTGCCAATGCTCAAGTGTCAATGCAGGGTTGCCTTCGGTCTCCTCTTCCAGCGCATTGTGGATAATGCGCTCCAGCAAAGCACACATGTGCCCCCCGACATTGTAGGAACTCGCCCTGCGGGCATGCGCCAAGAACTCGGCACCTCCACCCGCACATCGGAACAAACTTGATGGGCAACACACTACAGAGAAACTTGCACACTAACCACCGCAGCAGAATCTGAAAGGACAGCACTCAGGCGAATGGCCTCGCGCTTCCGCGCCGCCATTCTCCCAACCTGTGGCGGGCTCCGTCATCGAGTCGATGACATCTGCTTCAAGCCGCCAGCGAAGCGGGGCGAGCCGCTCGACAGCTGCTTGTGTGGCTCGCATGAGGGCAATAAGCTTCTCGTTGAAACTAACTTGCACAAGATCTCCATCGAGATCACCTCCTGTGAGCAAATGCACATCAATATAGAGACTTCACTGTAGAGGAGTCAGGAGAGATCCCAATAACGGATGCAGGACTATGTGTGCTAGCTCAGACTAGTCTAGATGCCGAGTTTCCTGCCTGCCATCAGCGTGTTACCATGGCCCTCGTCGCTGTTATGTGACAGCGTTGTCGGCGAGGCGATGCCCACGCCAGCCGGTGGCGGCACGGCCTCCATCAGCTGCAAGTCGCTGACCGAATAGCAGGGGTACCGCCACGCCTCGTTCTGAGACGTGCAGATCTCGAGACGCACCAGTTTTACGTCTTGCCTACTCTGCAACTTATATAGGAGTTTTCAGCATCTAGACGAGCTACCACGAACCACCCAACGAGTGCCACGCCGTCCTGCATGAGGTACACCTTGTTTGGTGGCAGTCGGCTGGACGTCTCGCAGACTGCGACAGCCGTAGCTGCTCGCCCCAGCCCCTCGTTTCGAACCCTTCTGAGAACCCGTAACGAAACCCTATGCTAATCGTTACGAGTAACGTCCCTATACTAAACCCTGAAAAGCCGAAATATAGATATAAAGGAGCCCGCAAAACAGCCCCAGTCAAATTATCAGGGCCGCAACAACAGAATTATCAGGGCACGAAAACGTAAACCCACATCTTAAACCCCAAACCCTATACACTAAACCCTACATCCTAAACCCTAAGCCCTACACCCGAAACCCTAAACCCTAAACCCCACATCCGAAGCCCTAAACCCTAAACCCTAAACCCTAAACCCTGAACCCTAAACCCTAAAAGCACCCAGCCGACGCCTCGGAGAAGTAGTTGACGGCATCCTCGTCCTCTCGCGCCTCCCAAGCCTGAGAAGGGAGGCAAGGGGTTCAGTTTAGGGTTTAGGGTTTAGGGTTTAAGGTTTAGAGTTTAGGGTTTAGGGTTTAGAGTTTAGGGTTTTTTTTTTAAACTCCTTTTTCCGAAGCCCAAGGGTGCCGAAAGGCAAGTACAGCCAGGACTGGAAGCCATTTCTCGGCCCCCAGGGAAAGGAAGGACTACCACCACCGGTTTAGGGTTTCCGTTTTAGGGTTTAGGGTTTACTGTAGGTCAGGGGCTTGTGGTTTTGGGTTTAGGTCTGAGGGGTTTGGGGAGCTTCCGGGAATTTAGGCTTTGGGGGCTGTGGTTTCGGGCTTAGGCTTTAGGGATTTGGGGACTTTCAGGGAATAAAATTGCCTTTTGGAAGTCTACATTAAAATGATACTTCAAGAAGCAGATGCTCATCTCTAGTGAATAGAGCACTTCGACACACGTGCATCGACCCGAAGCCATAGAGAAGCTTTGTCATTTTCTGCTGAGAGACTTGGACAGACTTTGGGGTAGGGTTTCGGGCTTAGTTTTTCGGGGCTTTGGGTTTTTTTTTGGGGGCTTTAAGGGTTTAGGGTTTATGGTGGGTTTTTTGGGGGGCTTTAAGGGTTTAGGGGTTAAGGGGTTGAGGACTGAGGGCGTAAAGAAAAGTTAGTGGCAAAGACTTAGGCTGCGACCATAGCACTGCAAGCGTGACAGGCCTGGTTGATCATAGCCTCGGGTCACTGGGGAGCTACCGTTCTGCAGGTTGGCACTTCGATGCTTCTGCGAACTGAAAATGCGTCCCTGGTTTCCCACATGCTGCGATACGTGCGAAGATACCGTCGGTGATGAACAATCACCATCCTGTCACCCAGTGGACTGCTACTTTCGAAACTGGATTCTCGTTGAGAGGCTTGTCACAAGTTACCATCTATAAGTACACCAGGGTACTTATTTTCTGTCGATAGATAAATACCACCGGCTAGCTAGCTAAATAGAGAGGCAGATATATGGAGCATAGACCATAGACCACTGTTCCTGTACTTCGAAGTGAGCTCCGCAACAAGAACCCTGTTAGGGTTTGCTGTTTAGCGTTTAGGGTGTAGGGTTTGAGGGACCCTAAACCCTAAACCCCAAACCCTAAACCCTAAACCCTAAACCCTAAACCCCAAACCCTAAACCGAGCAAACTCAGCGCCAAGTTCTTGAGCTTCGAACGCCTGTGGGCCAGTCGAGATCCTTCACGTGGCATGCAAACCCAAAGAGCCCAATACCCCTTAAAAAAAGGAATATATCTTAAATTATAGGGGCCTTAATATTTTGATTTAAGGTATATTCCTTATTTAAGGGGTATTGGGCTCTCTGGGAACGGAAAAGACTGTAGCTGTCGTGATCTTTCTAGGGTTTAGGGTAGGTTTTCTGCTGTGTTGATGGCTCCGCTCCATCCTTCCACAGTCCCCGCTGTGCAGTGCGCAACATTGGGTTTCGGGTTTGGGGTCTGAGGTTTTGGGACTGGGGTTTAGGGTTTCTGGGATGGCGCTGTTCCAATGATACTGCTGATGGACAAAATTCTGCATGGCCCAAATATAGTATAGCACCATAAATCCCATAGTTTAGGTATATAAGTTCATGCAGGATTTTGTCCATCAACCGTAGATGTATGCGGCTGAAAGCCGGTCCGGAGTGGTATGAGAGTCGCTGCTTCATTCGGGCGTCTTTCTTGAGGGATCCTGCTGTCAAGGGATGCTTCCAGCCTCTGCAACTTCCTGTTTCGGATTGGCGGGTACATGTGGAAACCCTAAACCCTAAACCCTAAACTCTAAATTCCAAGGATGCCTGTTGTCTGCTCTGTTTCTTGAGGCCTTGAGATTCCCGGCCCTGCACCCGGTTGGCACCTAAGCCTCATTTAGGGTTTAGGGTTTAGGGCCCCTGTGGCAACTGGCGGAGTTATCACTGGGCTTTGAAGTAGCCAAGGAGAAAAAAGTGTAGACTTTTATTTCATAATGGTTCCTTTAAGGAACAGGTCCCCCCCAAAAAAGTATTAAAGTAGGGTACTCCAAAGCCCAGTATCTGACTCTCAGTCACTCAGTCACTCACTCACAGACTCACCATCTGATCCCAGTACTTGGAGGTTCATGGGTAGTTATAAGGCTCCTTTAAGGGATCTATAAGAGGGTTCTATAAGGGCTATATAAGGGTCCTATAAGGGGTCTATAGGGGGTCATATTTGGAGGTTCATGGGTAGTTACAAGTAGAGTTATAAGTAGGGTAACTATAATTATCACCCAATTCGGGGACTTATAACCCCACTTATAACTACCCATGAACCTCCAAGTACGGTGCCAGTGGCCGCGACTCCTTCCGCAGGACCACAAAGACAGCCAGTGGGTCGTTGGAGTTGGATGCTGCAGCACCTGCCTGCCGTGACGTGCGAATCTCTTGTAGAAGCTTCATAAATAGAAAAGGGCTCCTATAATATAGGGCTTCGCAAGGTTCTCATGCTGGCTTTGGGTCTAGGGTCTGCGTAGGGTTAGGGGCTTGACGTTAGGGGTTCAGGTGTATCCAATTCCTCGTTAATGGTTAGCTAGGGCCTAGAATGAAGCGCCATTGAGGGCTCACCCCTCAAAAAGTGTGGCGAACCCTAGGAAATTGAGCCATCCCATCTGACTTCCACTCTGAGCTAAGGACAAGGCAAGATCATCAGACCAGCTCGCACTGAAGGTGTTTTTGAATGCCTTTTTCCGACTGCTCGAGTCCAGCCCTCAGAATCTGCAATTTGCACTTAGGGTTTAGGGTTTGGGGTTAAGCCTTTTATCACTAGTCACTAGTCTCTGCATACTTTAAACCCCAAGAACATACGCTTACCAATCAACAAGGGAACCGATGTACACTCACCAGAATTCCGAAGGCTTACCCCTATTGCCCTAAACATCACATAATGCGCAGATGATCCAAGAGCAGGGACTCTTCAGACTAACTCATTCCGATCAAACCTTCGTGGTCCGGAGCCCCTGTGTTTTAGGGCTTAGGGTTTAGGTTTATAGGGTTTAGATACCCTAAAACCCAGACTGTCAGCTGCAATCTAGAATACTAGATCAGGGTTGTTGCAGGGCTCTAGTCTACACTCTAGACCCTAAATTCACGGCTTTATAGCTCAAGTCGTGTTTATAAAAGACCCTGAGAAGAGCTGTAGCGATTCTGGCCGTGCTGTATTACTATGGTATAGTTAGGACTTACGGTTTAGGGTTTAGGGTTGATTGTGACTTTCTTACTACTCATTCAGACCTCAACATTCATTTCAGGCTTCCACGAAGAGCCGGAGCTGCTAAGAAGCCCTAAACCCCTAAACCCCTAAACCCCTAAACCCCTAAACCCCTGAACCCTAAACCACAAAGCCTAAACCCCTAAACCCCTAAACCCCTAAACCCCTTAACCCCAAAACCCCTAAACCCTAAACCCTAAACCCTTAACCCGTAAACGCAAACCCCTAAACCCCTAAACCCTAAACCCTAAGCCCCTAAACCCTAAACCCCTAAACCCCTAAACCCTACACACTAAACCCTGTAAGGTTGGACCCGTACGGGCCCTTAACCCTGGGATCCTTATACTACGGTTTAGGGTTTAGGGTTTAGGGTTTAGGGTTTAGGGTTTAGGGTTTAGGGTTTAGGGTTTCAACACCTACTATATACCCTATACATGTACCCGTCAGGGGTCCCTAGAAAGGCCTCAGGGTGAATATTCGGGGCCCTATTGCTAACCTTAGAGGTTTGTAAGGATTGAGGGCTTGGGGTTTCAGGGTTTACGGACTAGGATTTATTGGTTTAGGGTTTAAGGGTTTACGGCTTAGGGTTAAAAGGAATCCCGCACAAGCGACCGGACAGCAAACCTCCCAAAGAGCTCCCACCCTAACCCCGAATGCCCTGAGCCCTAAACAGTGCGACCAAAAGCCGGAAATCGAACACCCCCAAATCCAACACCTCAAAACACGGCTTAGGGTTTAGGGTAGAGGGTTTAGGGCTTAACCTAAAACCCTGAACGCTATGAACCGCAACTCCTAAGACTTGAATTTTTAAGCTGGGTAAGAGTGTAAGGGCCGATAGTAAAATACGAATACGCACCGTTACAGGACCAGCAGAGGACCACAAGGAATATCGAACAACATGTTTTTCAAGTGCCGCTTTTTGACTTTTTAAACCCTACCCTTAACCCTAAACCCTAAATTCCCGGAAAAAACCCTAGACCCCAAATCCCACAGCCCTAAACCCTAAATCCTAAACCCTAAATCCTAAACCTCGAGGGGTGCGAAGGACCCCAAATCCCAAAGCCCTGAGCCCAAACGCGCAAACTGAGAGGCTGCCTTACTTCCCGCGGACCGCGCGGCGGCACTCGGC